GACACCAGTTTCAGCAGGGCCCAATGACTACGGGACTGGGGCACGTATTTACATTCTGTTTATATTATCTCATCGACCGGGAAGGTTAGCGTTGGCACCAAGGCAGGACAGAAAAGGCTGCCTTTGCTGCTGATGCTCACGCTAAGTGCCAGCTGAGATAGTCTGTTATGCTTATTTCTCCAGGCTAGCCAGGAAATTGCCTCATGGAGAACAGACAGGGCCAGGCTGCAGCAGCTGATTTGAAGGTGCAGACTTTGGGTCTGACGCCAGCACCGAATGTCTCCGAAGGTCTGGGGAAATTTAGACCCGAGATTCCGATTCAGCGCTTCGTGAGACAGAGAGGACAAATACCGGTTTGGACCCACTTGTGACACGTGTCAGGGCTGCTCCAGCTTGGATTTGTGCTTTGCCCCTGCGGTGAAGCAGGACTGCAGGTCTGGGATGGGAGACTGGAACCGGACGAGGGTGCAGGTCTGGGACGGGAGGTTGGAACTGGACAGGCCTGGGGATGGAACCGGACGAGGCTGCGGATCGGGAATGGGAGGCTGGAATGGGGTGAGGGGTATGATTTCCTTCTATCTTACACCGGTATAAATCAAGGTTGAACCCACCGACTGACGACAGGACAGCAGGAGAGCCCAACCCCTGGAAACCGACATCTACGTGACCACTTCTTCAGTTTTTTGTCACTTTGAAAGAAGCTCGTTGTAAAATGAAGCGTGATATGGAGGGGAAATAAAATGAGCTCACAAAGCGGTGTCCTGTCAGTCCTCATCTGACACCAGTTTCAGCAGGGCCCAATGACTATGGGACTGGGGCACGTATTTACATTCTGTTTATATTATCTCATCGACCGGGAAGGTTAGCGTTGGCACCAAGGCAGGACAGAAAAGGCTGCCTTTGCTGCTGATGCTCACGCTAAGTGCCAGCTGAGATAGTCTGTTATGCTTATTCCCCCAGGCTAGCCAGGAAATTGCCTCATGGAGAACAGACAGGGCCAGGCTGCAGCAGCTGATTTGAAGGTGCAGACTTTGGGTCTGACGCCAGCACCGAATGTCTCCGAAGGTCTGGGGAAATTTAGACCCGAGATTCCGATTCAGCGCTTCGTGAGACAGAGAGGACAAATACCGGTTTGGACCCACTTGTGACACGTGTCAGGGCTGCTCCAGCTTTGGTTTGTGCTTTGGCCCTGCGGTGAAGCAGGACGTAGCTGTCTAATTCCCAGCGCCCCATGCCCAGAACAGAGGGTGCTCTACCCTGGGTTGCTCGGCTCAGAAAACGGTCCAAAGCATTTTGGTGTGGCTGCTCATAAATTCTATCCACGGTCAAATTCTGAGTCCTGGGACAACTTGAAACAACGGGCTCCCATTTCTGCTTCTGTACACAACTCATCTATAGGACATAAGCAGGATCCCAGTAACAAGACCACAGCCTTGTGTTCACACCTTGATTCTGTAGACCTTCTCAATGGCTTGAGGGTGTTTGCAGGAGGCAGCTAAAGCATAGACAGTGTCTGTTGGCACCCCACACACTGCCCCTGTGTTCAGCAAGTCAGCAATGGTCCTCAAGCCACTCGTACAATGGGACCTGGGGCAGATGCAGGGTGGAGGATCTTCAGTGTCCTTCTTAGAGCTCTCAGCCTGGCAATAATCAGGAGGCAACAAATCCATTATGGCGGGAATATGCAAACATATGAAACACAGGGTAGGACTCAGTTCACCCAAATGCAGGTATCTCACTGTGCCACGCTCCCTTGATAGCCAAAGGGCAGAGGCAGCCCTTCTAGGGACCCTTCACCTAAAGTAGGTGAGACGAATTACAAGGCAGAAGTGATTAGTTCTGTCCCAGTAATAACGTCAAAGAGACTAGCTCAGGTGCAGGCATTTGAACTGCTGATGCCTAACATTACAGGAGATGAATCCCACCCAGCACAGTGACTGCATCCTGGAGAAATAGCTGTTCTCCAAAAAGACCAAGGGAAACTGCTAGGGAATCTTAAATCCAGAGGAACATGAGTAAGATCAAGTTTCAAGTGCTTTCTCATGTGTCTCCATGGTTAGAAACACTGATTTCATGAAAATGTTTCTCTGCAGCAGG